TACTTAAGAAACTGGCTGGGTCGGCCTGGGGTGCATACCCAGAAAATAACATACTTAAGAAACTGGCTGGGTCAGCCTGGGGTGCACACCCAGAAACAATAAGAACAGCTTTGTCCCTGTGGTGCTCCACAGCAGAATATGCTAGTGCTATATGGAACAAATCAGCACATACCAAACAAGTGGATGTAGCTGTTAATGAATCATGCAGGACTATTACTGGATGCCTGAAACTGACCACCACTGAAAACATCTATTATTTAACTGGCATTGCCCCTCAAGAAGTACATGAAGAATGAAATAAGGTAATAGAGCATCAAACCCATCTAAATCCCTAGATGACATCTAAAATTGAGGGAGTGTTTTCTGCACACATCTCAGACTTGAAATATTAAACAAGAAGAGACTAAGCACAACCTACAGAGAACAAAACAGCACACCTTATTGAACAGATGAATGCTGAAGAGTGTCACCAACCAGGATAAGACCCTAGCTGGACCATATGGAAGTTACTTAATAGGCATTGAAGTGAAGTAAGAAGATTAAAAAAACATAATCAAGTAAAATGGGGCTTCTTGAATATAGGACAAATCTTCTGTGACTGTGGAGAAATTTAATCAACGCAGCACTTATGTGCATGCAATTCATGCCCCATCACATGTACAAAAGAAGATCTAACAAAGGGCTGAGATAATGCTATTGGAGCAGCCTGCTTCTGTTCAAAAGTAGTTAGATAATGCTATTGAAGCAGCCTGCTTCTGTTCAAAAGTAGTCTAATTATCATAGCATTTTAATTTGTTTTAATTTTACCCATTTCAAATTATGACCAGTTCCGGCGGCAAAATTTTGTGTCGACTTGTGGCCAGAGCTCTGAGTTACAACCAGAAAAAGGCAGGGGAATTCAAATTGCTAACCATTGGTGGCGAAGAGACTGCTTCTTTGTAGATCTTTTGCTCCAGCAGTTAAAGAGTGTGCAGTCAGAGGAGGCTTCAGACTGCCTGGTAAGGTAAGGTGCTGCTTTCTACTTTTTAAAAACTGTTCTGGGTGGGTTTTGGGCTGGGTGGTGGGATTATGTTTCTATGCTGTGATGGGTCTTGCAGGGTTTTTTTTGGGGGGGAGGGGCTTCCCAATTTCCAATAGGTCTTATGGGGTTTGTTCATTTTTTGGGTTTTTCCCCCCCATTTCCGATGGGTCTTGCATGGTTTGTTTGCTTTCTGCTTTCCTTTTTTTTGCATTTCCCATGGGTCTTGCACAGTTTGTTTGCTTTCTGCTTTGCTTTCCCCCCATTTCCGATGGGTCTTGCATGGTTTGTTTGCTTTCTGCTTTCCTTTTTTTTGCATTTCCCATGGGTCTTGCACAGTTTGTTTGCTTTCTGCTTTGCTTTCCCCCCATTTCCGATGGGTCTTGCATGGTTTGTTTGCTTTCTGCTTTCCTTTTTTTTGCATTTCCCATGGGTCTTGCACAGTTTGTTTGCTTTCTGCTTTGCTTTCCCCCCATTTCCGATGGGTCTTGCATGGTTTGTTTGCTTTCTGTTTTGCTTTTTTTTTTTGCATTTCCGAAGGGTCTTGCACAGTTTGTTTGCTTTCAGCTTTCCTTTCCCCCTATTTCCAATGGGTCGTGCACAGTTTGTTTGCTTTTCTTCCCCCCCCCTTTGGCTGGAACGGATTAATCGCGTTTCCAATGGGTCTTGCAGTGGTTTTTTTTGGGGGGGGGAGGTTGGTGATTTTTTATTTGGTTATTATGAATTAATTGCATTTCAATGCATTTCTATGGGAAACGGTGCTTCGACTTACAGTCATTTCGAGTTATGACCGGAGTTTTGGAACCAATTAAGTTCGTAAGTTGAAGCACTACTGTATATATAAGTTATATACATATACATCCATAATTTTAAATTGTGCAATGCTCTGATATGAATAAAGATCCAAAAATCTCATCACTGTGCCATTGTTTCTAACCACTGAACCCTGCTTACCTCTTCCAAACTCAAGCCTGTGGGTTCCTTTAGGAAATAAATCCATCTCATATTTTATTTCCTCTTTTCCTTCCTCTACCTTTCCCAGCATTATTGTCTTTTCCAGAAACTCCTGTCTTCTCATGATATGCACAAAGTAGGACAGTCTCAGTTTCAACATTTTTACCTCCAGACATAGTTCAGGCTTGATTTGATCTAGGACCTACTTATTCAACTTTCTGGCAGTCCAGGGTATCTACAAAGCTCTCCTTCAGCACCACATGGCAGACTTTTTTTTCCTGTCCGCTTTCTTTACTGTCC